AGTGACTTACGCCAAGTTCAGCCGGAAAAAGTAAGTATCTGTGGATGAGTATCTATGCAGCTTTATTTCTTCAAAAGCTTCACTCTGCTTCCATGAGACGATTCATGGACATCATCATCATCATTAGGAGACGACAATTCTCTCTGTGAAAGCCTTGTAACCTTTTTTTGGTAGGGTAGCCTTTATTCCACGTGGCAGTCGACTTGCTGACCAGAGAGAAAGTGCACTGAGGATAGAACGAGACGCGAATTGCGATCGATGTTTCATATTCGAACGAATATGTATCCTGTAAATGAATATCCTGTAAATGCTGTTTCCGACGCATCTGTTGCAGTCGTGCCCATGGCCTGCACAGTCTTGTCTACTGTTGCAAGCGAGCGACGAACGTGTGAAGAGAGGAGACAAACATTTCACCTTGTAGTGTCTCTGCATCGATCAAGCCGCTCCGTTCAATTAAGCCAGGTATGAAACGTATGAATTTCGTTCTGAAAGGAAGTAGTAATTTAGTCTGCAGCTTTTGTACCTCGCAGCCGTTGATGAGAAAGTTCCATTTTAGCCATTTCAAAAGTTGAATTCATGGGTCTGGCTTTCGAAGACACGGAGCGATTAAAACGTTCCTGGACTGACTTTGACCCCTTTCTTCTCTGATGTCACTTCCCATGGGTGTCTTGCGTCTTGGAGTGTATAACTTTCCTGTTCATTGGCTTTCATTTGATTTATAAAACAATTTTTAAAATGATCTCTTTGACTAACCAGAAGGAAATGTGTGCATTTATCAATCCGAAGAAAAAAAAACTAAAATAGAAATTCAGATCGTCTTGAAAATTTTTGTGAAGATAGGAAAATGCGTCAAAGAAACTCGATGTATGTCGTCTACTGAGACGACCTAAGGCCATCAATATCGGTCGAGGAGAAGAGCAAATGCCAAAGTAATCCTTCAGAAAGTTTAGAGTGACACTTGATGAGCCCTCCGAGAACTTGGATTATCTCGTGGCTGCATTTAATATCGACATGTGTATAAAATCTTGCTTTCTGTGAGTCACTTCTGCTGCTTGAATGCCTTGAAGGGTGTGGTGCATTTTCCCACGTCCACTCCGAACTTTTGAGGTCGTTCATTTAAGGTCTTTCACTTTTGCCAAGCGTGTCGAAGTGTTCAGTCTAAGGAAACTCTTCGAAAGAAATAAGAATCATAATTAGGGCTGTGCCGATTATCGCGATATCGTTCGATGTTTGTCTTATCGGCGATATATCTGCATATCGCGATATTTTAATTTTGAAAATAATAATATTTTCTACTCCTCTATTGTCGCGGGAGAGGAGAAGCAGAGCAACGAACCGCGCCATTAACAATAACGGCATAGGACGAAGTAAGGATAGACCGTCGGCCTTGACAAGAACTGATGAGATGATGGAGGGAGTTAGTGGATAATCTGAGGACTGCAATCCTCACCGATGTTTTCTTTTCCTGGAAAATTTCCTTGAGGCGAAATGATGGAAATCAGCACTCGGATTCAGTCAACGTATGATGAAACCACGGCCAATTTTTGTTGATGGAAAAGAACAGAAAGTCTGAAAGACGGGAAATCGTTTAGAATTTATCCTTGCAGCGAATGCAATACACCATCTGGAATATGAAAAAGTAGCCGTGCTGAAGGGAAGAGCAATTCCAGTTTCTGGAAATGCGACCGATCTCTCGCATCTTGTGACCTCAATTTGATTTCTGGCGATAATTGAGTCTCGCCGCTGAAAAGACCACTCCATCATTATTTGCAACTTCTCCTGTCTGGGACGGAGTGGAAGCCCAGAGGAAAATCGGTTCCCAGGCTTTAAATGCCTGACGTACCATTCCTTTAAAGAGAAGACCTTGAAAACCACCCACAGGCTCATTAATCTTTCATGGTTGCATTTCGAATCTGACAATCCACCATCGAGTCCATCAAGGCCTCCAGCAAGAAGTCATACAAGGCAATTATCACTTCCCTAACCCACGCGGACGGCTACGAACCTGCAGAAGCGGAGCCGCAGGACAAAATCAAGGACATTAATTTCGTTCGACCTTACATCAATAAAGCGGCGAAATGGAGATCGATGACCCACCGATACCCTAGAGTCATAACAGAAGGAGACACCCGTCGCTTGCCGACCTGACTCGCGAACACCTGCAAATTCGCGGAACTTTCGTCCCGCGTGAGCGACTCTTTCCGAGATAAGGATTTTCCGCAAACTAACATCGTGCATGCTTTGCGACAGAGATCGTCGCTATGTTCTCTCTCCTAAGTTTGAACAACGAACTACCATGACGTCATGCATTCAAGATCATGTCAGAATCATTACCAAAGTAAAGAGGTTTTGTCCTGAAATAAATGCGCCATTATTACCAACCCCCCCGATTGAATTCTGGCGATATCGCGATTTATTGGTCGGCGATATCGATACTTTAAAAACCCATATCGCCCAGCCCTAATCATAATGCAAACCAGGAAGCAATACATTTTTCCCAAGCTCTCCCAGGGTCTTATTGATCTCTTCTCACATGTTTGCTCTTCGTCTCGGCATGAAGAGGGCTTGCCAATGCAAGAAAAAGGCCCTATGACTCGGCACCTCTCGATAATCGCAAGAGGTTATCTTGTTTTCGTGTGAAGCTTGAGAAGGTAGATCGACCACAAATTAGCAGACTTTACAGCCTTCTTGAAACAGTGCGACTATATATGCATTACCCGCTGTGTGCATTTATCAAGTAAATGGCAGCAATAAAGAGTAAATAACCCTTAGGGTTGAGGATGTTGCACTGCTGCAAGGTAGTATGAAATGATGTGAAAATGGTTCGCAGTATCATCTTCGAATTAGAAATGAAGTCATTCTCATTCACTTCTCTTGGATTTATTTTACCTTTAGTTTCAATACCGAAGTCTCCCTTTCCATTCCTCTCATTCAGCCACATCAGCAGTAGGACGCATCAGCAGTGGGAAGGGAAGTATTAATAATGAAATGAAAGGAGAAACGAGTATTGAAATTAAAGTCAGTTCGAAGGGAACTTATTCCGGTTTCTAGGAAACCATAATGCATCATTGATTGAGTTGGATTTTAAATTCAATTTTTGATGGAGTAGTATTTTCTAATTCCATTTTTATAATGAAAATTGGAACATAGTTGCTAGGAATGGCTCAATTTATTCCAGAGTAACATATATGTCATCATTGACAGTGCCAAACACAGCGTCGGTGTCTCTGCTACTATAATCTACAATCGAATCAAAAACAAGAGGGAGAGGGAGGAGAGGTGGTGTCGAGTGTTTTTTTTTTTGTTTTGGTGTGCAAAAAAAAAGAGCGATTCGGCCTCGATCGAACAGAGAGCTTGATATGTCACGAGGGGGATCTTGCTAGAATCACAAAAATTCCATTGACTTTCGGTTGACTCGATTCTTTTCAGACTCTATTGCACGAATATAAATAAAAACGTAGGGAATTTTCCTCTTTTGTGCACTAGAAACTGAGAGATTCGAAAATTCGCCATCTCGCGTACCTGAGTGGTTCCGAAATATTGACAAGTGAAAAAAAAAAACAAACAACCATTCGATTCGATTCAATGGGTGAGTGTTTTCTTTAAGTAGAAAACCAGAATGGGGAAAGGGGCGCGGAATGGGGTAAAGGGGCGCGGAATGGGGGGAAAAGGGCGCGGATCACAACAGAGTCACCACATTCATCATCCTCATAAATAGGATTTAAATAAGGACCCCACAAACAAAATAAAAACCAAATGCCACGCTGCCAGTCACACACGATCGTTTCTCTCTTTGTAATAAATTATGCCTACAAAAATAATGGTCTGGTGGAATGTTCAATAAATTGATCAAATATCGACGAGATCCAGACGGACAAAAAACGAAAAAACGAAGGGAAAATTCCTAGGAAAAAACCCTTTCTAGAAATTCGCTTACCTGATATTCTAAAATGACAAGAGGTGAAGAATTTGGGGGGGAAGGGGGGTCGATAAAAAGATCACTTCGCATCTTCCCTCCACTATATATACAAATATGACAGATTTTCGCATGTGTCCATTTTCGAGTCGTTTGAGAGAGAGAAAAAAGGTAATCGGATCGAGGACAGCGATGCTAGTCGAGATTAATATATATTGCTTTGTCCGAATGCCAGGTCACTGGAGTCTTTTTTTCCCTTTCGTTTTCATCGTAGGCCCGAGGAGAGGGCGATAGTAGAGACATGACGGCTCTGAACCCTGTAGGAAAAGATTCAAGCCACGACAATGGGAGAACGAAAACGTCAGCAGAAAGAAAATGCGAGCAAGAAGTAAAAAAAAGAATAGTTTTGGCCCATCTGGGGAATGTGTTTCACCGGCAGAGCTGATCCTATCCAGACGGGAAATAGAGGAGAGTGGATATATATCACATCTTCTGAGAGTGAAATCAGTCACTTTTTGCGCTCTCTCTTTCTCTCTCTCTCTCTAAGCCTATGAGAAAGTACGGTGCAACCGGAAATGAATCGTAAAATGACTAGAATCCTTTGATCTGTATGCCTATCCGGGAACTTGACTAGAAGACACACAATATGAGGAAAAGGAAAAAAATAACCAAAGGGACAGCACCTGGTCATACACATGTGACGTCACTCAGGTCAGGACTAGTTGAGATAATGCACTTCGGAAACCTAAAAAAAAAGACTAGGCTAGAACCAGAAACCAATCCGGGATCGCGTGGGTTTCCCTAGATTACGTAGATCACTCTTTCAGCTACATATCATCATGGATACGTCATGATCTTGACTCCATCACTATCGACTAAGGGTGAGGAGCATCGGGAGAGAGTTGCATAGTCGGGCAATGATGGCATCCTCGCAGTGTTTCTTTCCTCTCCAGAACAACACTCTCATGGGGGAGGGGGGAGGGGGGGGAGTTAAAGAAAGTTTCAAAAAAGGCGGCAGATGGAGACAGACGGGAAAATTCATCGTCAGCTCCGAGAACGAGAAACGGAAACGAACGCATTCGAATCACAAGTTGTCGGGATGTTGAGAGCCGAGATGCGCCATGGAATGAGGTGGGACCGCGAGGATGTGACCGTGGTGGGGCGGTGGTGGGGCGGCGTGGGGATTGGGGCTCAGGTTCTCCTCCGAGCTGGGGGTGCTCCCGCCGGACGTCTTCCCCCCACACGACACTGTGTCATCGTCCTTCCACTTGTCCTGGCTCCGGCGCCTTGCGTTCATGAAGAAGTTCCCCACTGTCTGTGGCTCCAGGCCCAGCTGGCGGGCGATGGTCACTTGCATCTCTTTCGAAGGCCTTTTCGTCTCCTGTGGCATGAAGGGGTCGTTGGGATTCCTCGAAACAGGTCTGGAGTGGGGGGAATCGTGGGGACTGACCTTAAAAATAGCTTGGAGGGTTCGTCGCTGTAAATCGGTGAAAACTAGCCGGGGTTTCTTGGGAGCAGGGGGATGGTCGGGCTGAACCTGCTGCTCTTCTTTTCGCTTGCATGCTAGGGACGAGAAGAAGCGAAAACATGATGCAATCGTGAGGAGCACAAATACGCTTTCGTCCAATTAAGCATGGCACACGTGTCGTGCTCCTCGGTTCAATGGGTCTCGGGTGAGAACCATCGATCCAGCAAACAGGTAACCGGTGAAGAGAGAAAATCTTTCATTCCCCCCCAAATGACATAAAACGATTCAATGCAATATCGACTGCGGGCTTTGACAGCATGACCTCGGCGTCCGGCGATTCCCGAAATAAGACCGCCATGCATTACCTCTGCGTGAGCCCCCGGACTCGAGAAAGAAATCGGGGTCGAAAAAAGGAAAAGCTAGGATGCGATGGGAGACCTTGATGGAAAGCGGGCGATTAGTGTCACAGAGAGGTGTCACTGGATGCATGTTGAAGACGGAGTGTCTCAGATCACGCGGCTCCGCTCGCCCTCATTATGCCCCATAATGATAAGTCAACGTTTCCTCCCCCATATTTCATTCACACTCATTACGGCTGGGAACCATTCGAATCCGTATTCTCTCTTCCTCTTCCCCGTGCACGGAGACACCTGGTGTCATTTCGTAGTCGGGGGAGAAAGAGAAAGAGCGACCGAGGGAGGGAGAGGCGAAAATGGTCCCCAGTGATTCCTTTTGATAAATTTCTCCCTGCCTGAAGCCACCGAAATGCACTCCAACAATGATCAATCTTTATCCTTCTTCCCTCCCTTTCTCCCCCATCCCCGAATATTCACACCTCGACTCCGCGAAATAAAGCCCGAGATATTCCCGGGAAAACCACGTGATTATCGGGAAAACCATGTGATTATTGGGAAAACCATGTGATTCTGGGAACGGCCGAACAAATCATGGGAGAGCAAAGCAACTGCAGGGCCTCCGGTGGAAAAAAAATTGGGGGAATGTGATCTATGGTGAGAATCCGGCACACCTTGCTTCAGCCGAAATAGAGCCATTCATTCTCCTCCTCTCCTTTCCTTTTCCCCCCCTTGTCACAGAAAAGTTTCCATCTTCTAATGTTGGTGTGTCTGATGGAGATAAGATGTGATGATAGAGCCATGCACATCTGCTCTCAGGAGTCTCTCTCATCCCGGAAACTGGAACTGGCCTGAAAACCTCATTTCCGGAATTTCTAGCTGTCCCTGATTTCCCGTTTATGAGATAAGGAGCCGATGCAGCTGAGACCGGAAATGGCACAAGAAACCCAGAACAGACCAGTTCCAACTCCTCCTGTCTCATCGAGGCTTAATTCCGACCGAGGAGGGTCGGATTCTACGATTCTGAAGTGATTCTGGGGTCCTTCTGCGGCCACGCGAAAAAGTAGCAACACATTCCTTTTTTTTTCGTCGGTTCTCGATGTCGACAAACACGACGGACGGACTAGGGATACGCATCTACGAGGGCAGTCAATGTTAAGGGCAATCAGACAATGTTGAGGGCAATCAGACAATGTCCGCTTCTACGGGGGGCATACGTGTTCTACAGCATGATACACAGGATACGGATGCAAGCACATTCTACGGTGGAGATACGATCAGTCTCGATATCTAACGTGTACAGTACAGTACATCTCGATCACTCACAGAGTGTGTTGCTTCTTTTTCGGGACTGCTCTCCAGTTTCCATTGCCATTCCAGTCTGCAATGAAAGCAAGAGAGCAATCATTAGCCTGACCCCTTTTACGCGATCCGCCCCTCATTTTCATAGAAATTGGCGAAAATTCCCTAAGACCCGGGATTCCTCGCGATTTTCATAACAAAACGGATGCGTCCGGGGGAAGAGTCGATCCACTCCATTCAGCGGGGGGAAAAGGTATTTAAAAAAAAAGGGGAAAAAGGAAAAAAGAGACCTGAATGAATGGTAAGATGGAATATGATTACAAGCGAATCTGAGAAACCAAGCTCGAGGGGAAATAGGGGGGAAAGGGGGTAGTTCATCGAGGCGTTGCTTGTTTCCACCGGTCCCCGGGGACTCCTTACTTTACCTCATGAAATATTCCTTCTCTTCAAATATTCCTCAGCCCGGGATGAAGGGGGAAAAAATCCTCGTACACAATGAATGAAGACGTGCTGGGTGGTGGATCTCTGCACTGCGCCGGCTGCACTGTTCTTGGGAACTGGAATATGCTTCAGGAGTCGGAAAAAAAAGTGCGATGGGAGAAAAGAGAGAGGACAAAGAAGAAGAAAAAAAAGGACAAGGGGGTTGGAGATGACAGGAGAGATGTTGGCGTTCGAGATATTGCGGCGCAATCCGCACGGCAAACAAGGAATATAATGACTTGAATGGACTCCCGAGGAGGCTTTTTTCACACTTAGCCTCCTTCTTCTGGCCCTGACGTCCGTCTCAAGCCATTCAGTGGGACACTCGCCCAGTCCTCATTGGGGACTACCACAGTCCCCATTGGGGGGACTACCACAATCCCCAGAGGGGGACTTCCATAGTCCCCATCCTGTTCCGCCGCCTGACGGAGATGAGAACATTCTCTGTCGTTTCTTGTCGGTCTTTCCATGTCATCCCGACTTGTGAGATGCTCACGCAGATTCATCATAGCCCCGCATCGAGCGATCGGGTTCTTTCCCCTCATTTCCTTTTAATTGATGGTCCGGGAGAGGAAATCCTGGAGGACCCTTGCGGGCTCAGCCATAGATTACGTTGATGGTATTTGGAAGCCTTCATTATGCCACGAGCCCCCGCATAAACAGTTGACCCCCGGTGCCTGGAGCACCATTTAAGAGCCAACGGGGGTAAACAAAGGCCGGGCAAATGGAATTGCAGAGATGAAAGAGAGTAAAAAAAGGGATGGGGAGCAACCATAGATGAAGAGAAGAAAGCCCCATATGGGAACTGCTGTTGTCTCTCCCCTTCATCAAACGGGGGAAATCAAAATCTGACGGTATCGCGTCCAGCTGCCACATCGCAGAATAGAGTCGGGTCGTTTACGAACCACCCGGTGATGAGAATGCACAGGTAGCGAGCTTAGCACGAGCGGGACTGCACGTGTAAGGGGGATAGAGGGGGGCAGGGGGGAGAGCTCCTGTTTACAACCCGTCACGCAAAGTGCACCCCCCACCCCTGTCCTCTCCGTTGGATACATTCACGAGGGGAGGGGAAGAGAGAGAAGCCACGGGGGACGTTATACTCATGGACGACACCGATGAGGTGGGACTTCAGAAGGACATCGATCCCCTCCGAAACGGATCGGGTTTTCTCCCCGGCGAGTCTGGATCCGGAGCGATGCGGTTTATGAATGGAGATGAAAGGAATACGGGAAATCGGAAGAGAAAGACATCCAGGGATGTCATCAGGAGGGAAAACGGAGATCGGCTCTCGCGGCTCAGGTCCGACAGAATATAATGGAATACATCAGCATAAAATAGATTTCGGGCCGAGCCCAATATCCCGGCGGCGGATCCTTCCCTCTCTCCTCTTCCTCCTGCCGTGTAATACACTGCATCGTATTACATCGGAATACATGAATCCTCGCGGACATGTGTGTCTGTGTGAAAAGGGGGACGCGGATGAAAGAAAGGGATTACAATGCTGAGCATGGAGCCCTGGAGTGGCTTTCAAGTGGATGGACGGAGCTCGAATCCCCCAATATGCAGCCCCTTCCTCGAGATATGCATTCGAGATCGCACGAAAAATATACCCGTCATCCGATGAAGGGCCGTTTTTGCATAGATGGGAAACGCCATGAAAGTGCATGCACTTTACTTTCGATCGAGACGCAGGAAGGTGTAGGAGGAAAGGCCAGAAAGGCCAGCCTCGGTCAAGTGAGATTCATCCATCAAGGGCACTCAAGCTCGTAATGGCAAGTGACGACGAGAGCGAACTCCGATGCATCGAGACGCAATTCCCTTGATTGAGAGCCACTACGCCACGCGATTCTCGTGTTTCGATTCTGGGGTCCCGGAGTGATTCAGAGGTCCCAACGCGATTCCGAAGTTCCAATTCTGGCGTCCTAGAGCGATCCTGCCGTCCCAGTGCGATTCTGCCGTCATCAGTGCGATTCTCGAGTCCCGATTCCGGCGTCCCCCCACCCCGACAAACCATCCGAACGAGCGACAAATCACGTCGCACACGAGGACAAGGAGCGGAAGAGAATAGGAGGGAGCGAGAATAATTAAGGAAGACGGAGGAAGTCAATCTGAAATCACCTCATTAGCCGACCCGACTCGAGTCGACGCCTCTTGCCGTCTCATTATTCACTCCCTCATCGAGAAATCCCCCTCCATCTCTCTCTACTTCATCTCCTCGCCCCGTATGCTCTTTTTCCCTCCCACTTCCTTGCATATGATTACGGAAAGGATTATTCATGATGTCTTTTCGGGGCGAGAAAAAAATTGCCCCGGCTGTGGGAAATCCTCCGCATTCATATCCCGAGAGGGGAGAAGTAGGTGCGAGGGAAAACGAGGGAGAAAAAGATAGGGGAGATATTTAGAGGGATCCATCTTATGAGACAACCCCATTTCCAACGGGGACCCAGCTGGACATTTCTCACTTCATCAATTCCTCCTTAATCTCCCGTCGCTTCGGAACTTGTATTTATCCCTTGCCTTCTCGCGTGCAATTTGCGGGCCGCGATCAAAACTTCTGCATCACCGCGAAGCGATTTATGGTCGGAGAACAATGGACCGAATGGGAAAAAAAGGCACGGACGAAAGGCACGGGGAACGGCACGAGGAGCAATCAGTCAGAGTAGAAGTTGAAAAGCGTCGGACACGGTGTTCCATTCACCATGAGGTAGCCTCCTTTTGACATCAATGTCCTGCCCCCCCCCCCCCCCCCCCCCCCCCCCCTGCATTAGCCAAGATGAGGGCATTAGAATAATATCCTATATGGCGTCATTAATGCCAGGCACTAATGGCACCTCCACACCGACATGCTCCATGCACCACCGCCTACATGATGGATTGCCGAGGATCTGAAAAGGAAAAATCTGTGAAAAAACGAGATGGGAAGGCGGGGAGTGAACTCACTTTCATTTCATTACGGAGGGAACGACCCCGTTTTCACGTTACACCCTAAATTTCCACGAAATCCAGTCCCTGGCACCCAATTTCTTGGGGAAGGGGAGGGGTTTTTGTCCCCTCATAATATGTCATAATTAAAAAAAATCAATTACTCACAATGAAGAGACTTTAAATAATGATGGATTATCTCATATAATTGAGTCATGAAAACAAAATTGACAAATATTTAGTGGTTCTCGTGGTCATCCGAAACAGCCACCATTTCGTTTTTGTTGAAGGCAACATGGTTCTTCGAGTCGTGGAAAATTTATGCAGGATGTGCAACAATTGATGCAGAATGAGTCTCTCGAGAACTAATTGAATGTCCACAAGCAAATTTTTTTTCCCTCTGGAAGGAGAAAGTGGAAAAACCTGAAAGTGTGCAGAAGTAATTAAATTTTTAGCCTCCTAACATTCCCAACTGCCTGATTGTATCCAATTCAGGGAATTTCGGACCCGGGCTGCATTTAGTCGTCAGAAACTTTATTTTTGGGAAACCGACGAGTACAACCGGGACCGGGATCCTCATCGCGAGGGCGAAAATGAGAAAGGACATGAGAAAGGACATAGGTGTCGAGGCGTAGCTCGTACGAGGCGGAATACATTTTTGTTTCGGCGACGAAGGATCATTATTCTTGTATTGTTCCCCTCCTCCTTCCTTCATAAGTTATATTCTGACAAGGACGTGTGCTGTGGCGAAGAAAGAGAACGAGGCAAGAAAGGAAAAGAAGGAATGAAAAGCCAGATTCAGGGGAGAATGACAAAGCTTCGTGGGAAGCGAGCAACCTGTAGCCCCCCTCTGCCCCCCCCCCCCCTCCCCCCAACCTTCTATGCTTCTGGATAGGTTCGGCTTGCCTCGAGCTCTTTGGCTCGGCGTTGGGGGGTGAGGGGGGGCGAGGATTGGGACCGGTTCAAAGCCATTTGATGGGTCTCGGCTTGGCTCCTTTTGAAAAAGCACTCTCTTTTCTCTCTTCCCCCCGTGCACAGATGCGGTGGTTCCCATCGATGAACTTTCCAGCCTCGAGG